TTTCTCAGTACGTAGCAGATTGTTCAGTGGAAAATCTGATACGTCATCTGCTGGTTGTGCTGGACCGACCTGAAAAGCTGCTGCTGCTTAGAGAAGTGAGGTAAGGACAGGGAAACAATGGTGTTGGAAATGTTTCCAGAGAGGCGGAAGGATTTTTCAGGATAAGCATCTCAAACTGAAATCCAAACGTTGCTCATTGAGGAGCTGAAGACTAATTAAAGATGTAAGAACAATGACTCAGCGTATTTTTTGTTCATCCACTTGTCTCAGAATGCTGCTTCCGCCTTCTGATCTGAGTGTTTTCAATAACATGGTGACTGCCATTGAAGCTGAGGCCTACGATATCCTCAAGTATCGCTCAGGTGTGTATGAGAATTATCTGATCATGATATTCGAGCACCATCAGAGTCAGAGTTGTTTTCTGATATTACAAACCGTATCTTTTCAGTTAGCCCAAAAATTTGCTTTAACTTAACACAGTTTAGTAGGACCTCAGTAGGCCCAGAAATTCTCTGTCCTGTAAAATATGATTATTTTACTCTTTGTCTCATCACCATTTACCACCTTTCTGTAAAGTTGCATTTGTCTTATCTTTCCATTGTAGTCCGGACTCCTCCTCTTCGCTCTCCCATTTCTGGTCGAACACCAAAACGGCGCCTCATCACTCCCATCCCAGGTCAGCACCTCCGCTGCAATATCGTAACTCTTTTTTTGATTTATTATCTTGGATAAACACTGACCTTTTCTTGGTCTAGCTTTTCTAAGGATAAAATTCTTTTTTTCTTTAAGCGTATTTGGTTCTCAAACTGTAGGGCGAGCCCCTTGGTGAGACATAAATCCACTCAAGGAGGGATGAAAGGACCAATGAAGTAAAACTATGTTGATGAATGTGATTTTTATATTGGAAAACTAAAACAGTGTTTATTGGCACTATTGTATAACCTCTTTTATTGTTATTTATGTTTGATTGAAAAGGTTTGAGATCTTTGGGGGGGTTAAATGGGCTTCCATACTTTCCATTCAACTGTGAAACATTTTCAAACCTCAGCCTGAAGTGAAAGTGTATTGAACTTGAAAATAGTTCCTGTAACAACATTTGTTCTCCTTCTAGATTACCAGGGAGGCTTTGAGCTCCACAGTGCTGAGGAGGTGGAGAAGGAGGGCCACCTGCTGGAGGAGCTGGAGAAGCTCAGCTTGACTGGGCCCCGTGTGTCCAAAGACAGGCTCCACACCTCCAGTTCCTTCACACCTCTGCTGGACATACCGGTGGATGGATACAACACAGAGTCCAGAGACCTCAGACCTCCAGCTGCAAGTCCAGTGCTCCCCAACTGGCTGCTGGCCCGCAGCACCGACTACAGGCCGCCTCTCCAGACAGAGATCGGCACAATTCGCTCCGTCCATTTTGATGAGGTGTCGCTGCACTCTGCTTCAAATAAGGGAGACACGAACTTAGAACGGGGACGGCCGCCGTTAAGAAACAGTCGCTCTAAAGGCAAAAAGGAGAAAAGTGGGGACAGGAGTAAAGAAGCCGTGTTTACGCTGCAGAGCGCTGCTCGCAGGAGTCGGCCTTTATTGTCGCAGGTGTTTGGTTCAAATCAGAAACTGGGGAGTGAACAGGTGAACGGTCATCAGGCTTCTTCTGAGGACAAGATCAATGGCAGCGACTCCAAACAGGAGTATGAGCTCCGAACTGTCAGCATCTCCAAGACCAAACAGTCTCTGGGTAAGTAACTTTATTTGATGCCACTCTCACATTCAGAATAACAGAAATACCTAGTTTCCCAAACCAAGTTAAACTGAGCCATTATAAACTTTCATGCGACTAATTACGGAATAATGGAATGTGTTTTTTTAGTAATGCTTCCGAGCAAGAGACGCTTGGTGTACTGGCTATTACAAAGCGACAGTAAATAAATGAAAAGTGCTCTCCTTCTCCTTCAGCCATTTAAAAACAATTGGACAAACAATGTGTGCAGTCTGCTCTCGCATATCAAAGTGAAAATTAAAAATCATTTCAATTGCAAATTTTTATCACATATCAGAAAAATAATCCAGTGAAATGTGTTTCTAAAAAAAGCTGACATGCTTGATTTTCATGTGGTAGCCTGCCCCTCGATACCCTGGCTCTCAAAACATAATGCCGTGCTGCAAGAACACATTGTGTTGCAACAGTATGCAACCCACACATGGAATTGATTGATCCTGTGGAAAACACTGGAAAATACTAACTGTATGACATACATTTTTGTATTTACTTCCTATATTTAGATTAAAAATTACATTGTTTATGTATGCATCCAAGTACACCTCTGACTTGTGCTGCTGTGATGCTGCAGGTATCAGTATATCTGGCGGGATGGAGTCAAAGGTTCAGCCGGTGGTGAAGATTGAGAAGATCTTTCCTGGAGGAGCTGCCTCCACCTGTGAAGTTCTCAAGGTAACATGACAGTACCAAACAGAAATCTTATAGAAAGAAGACTTTTCAGACCAGGCAGAAATCTTCTATTGTCCAATGTTAGTGATTTCAGCAAATTGCAGCTTCAGTTTCCTGTTCTTAGCTAACAGGAGTAGCACGTTGTGTGGGTTTCTGCTGCTGAAGTCCATTCATTTCTAGTTTTGCACTGAGTTGCTGCCATGTGATCAGCTGATTAGATATTTGCAAGCAGTTGAATAGGTGTACCTAATGAAGTTGCCAATGAGTGTACATAGTTCAGTGCATTTGTTCTGTCAGTGTCTGACTGGATCTCCCTCTCTGTTTCCCAGGCTGGATTTGAGTTGGTGTCTGTGGATGCTGTTTCACTGCAAGGGGTCACCCATCTGCATGCCGTTGATATAATCCGAAAAGCCTTCAGCAATAAGGCCAAAGACCCCATGGAGTTTGTTGTCAAAGTCCCCAAAGATCTTTGAAAGGACTTTTGTGGATTTAGAAAAAATATCCAGTGATAAGCAGCCTCCGGAATTTAACTTGGACACAGGTAAACTTTTACCAGCACACACACTGCTGAGGTCTGGTATGCATTTTTTGCCATTCAAGTTAAATTTGGGAACAAGGACACAGAAACTTTCTGAACTGAAACAAAGCTGCAGATAATATTTAAGAGAAAATGAACAAACCAAAAAGTTGTGTTTGTGTACAAATGAAATCTCTCACTTTTTCACAACCCTGCAGCCAGTGCCCATCCAGAACATTTTTAACTTGTTTGACCAATATCCATTAGTGCATAACAGATGGATAACTGTAGGTTATGCTCCTGAATTTTAAACTGTGCAGGATGGCAAACTTCAACTTGAGTGCCTTTGAAAGCCCCAGTGGACTGAATATTAATAAGAATCCACGTTAAGGTGGCTTTAAATTCAATTTTCTACCTGAAGAGGGCAGACACGGACCATTCACAATATTCCTGTGGACAGCAGCTAGCAAGAAGGATTTCTGAAAAGTTACACCAGAAAATATTAAATGTAAACAAAGAATTAAAAATGGGAGAAAGTACATCTGTACATGAAGGAAAGACCTGGTGTAATAAATAAAATCTGACACAGCTGTTAAACTTTTGTCTCTTTTTTTATTATTAAAACCAGAGTGGGTTTGTTCAAGAAATGTACAGCATGAAAATATACATTTAATGTTTTCATACAAATATTGTGGATTATAAAATTATACTAAGGAACCAAAACAAACATCTACACAAACAGTAATATACAGGCATCATATCTGTAGGAGCAAAATATAGAACGTGGGACATTGCTTTGGTCTATTCACAGTGGCTATGCTTTTATTGTGAGATGAACACATCTCTGGAAGAAAACTTTATCATGTTATGTGGGACAAGTGAGGTTTATTTACATAATAATGGAGGATAATAACGATTCACTCAGCAGTGAGAGGGGAACAGGACGCGTCTCCTCCTGTGGTACAGGGACGTAAATAAACAGATTTAAGCAGTCGGTGGAAAATTAGTTTGACTTTAAACGAAAACGTCACTTGGTACAAGAGCTCGCCATTTCAGCGATGAGTAATACGGAAACGTTCATAACACTTTATCCACACAGAAAAACGACGACCTCTTTGAGAGTAGGTTCTCCAATTATGATTAAAAAACAAAAAAATGATAAAGGGGAAAAACAGTCACAATATACTGTGTGATATAAGACATTAGGCATTATGATTTCCCTTTAATATCTGGATGTTTAAGGAGATCCAAAACACTGCATCTAATTCTCAACACTGTCAACTTCTCCCTTTTTTACTTCTGCATGCTCATCAGCAGGTCCACAACCACAAAATAAGGCTGCTTGATTTAGGCAAAAGCCACAATCATGATCATTTTGGACAAAAATCTTGCAATCCTGATTATTTAACATGATTATTGATGATTTAAAACCATGAATTTGCTAAACCTAAAAAAAAAAAGGGGGGGGCTTTTCACATGGGATTTCCTTGACCTTTAGGCTAGTTGGTGCATTTTAAGTTAAACTTACAAAAACTGCTGCTCCTCTTTGGACCAGAGGGAGAGCAGTAGCAGATAACAAGCAAACATCCGGTTGACCATCACTGAAAGAGGACCAGATGAGAAACCCTCAGAGATCCTGTTTGCAGGCAAACACTGATGATCCTTTCACTTCAAACCTGTTCTAGAGTTAGAGCTTGTTGACCAAAGACTCTTGTTTGTCTCTCTCCATTTAGTTCAAGCTGAACTGAATGGTGAATTTGTTTTCGGTTTTAGAATAGAAGTGAAGTTGCACTGCTGTAAAGGACAGGGGTGCGCTTGATTTATTACCAGACAAAATTATCATCCATATTGTCCTGATGTCATATTTCTTTAAAACCAAAATAGTTTGATCCTAAACTTAAGGGAGAAGTTAATGGTGTTTCCACCAAACACTAACAAAATGAAGACAGTCTAGCTTTTGCAAAAACAGCAAGACGATTATGCACAGGTGTACATAAGTAAATAAATCATGGCTAGTCCTGGGCTATTTCTCACCCGTAAAACACACACTCAGCATTTTACTAAGAGTGAGCACACACTTTTTAGCGTAGATTTGAATAAGATGTGACTGACCGTACTACAGCACTGGTAACAGAAAGAAGTAAAAATGACATGGAGATAGTTTTTGTTCCGTATCTGGAAATTAAAGCCACTGTATGGTGCAGAAAAACTCTAAATCGAACAGTAAACAGGAAGTGATTTGGGACATTAATGGTTTTTGGTAAATATCATCTTTAAAGCAATGATATCATGAAGTTACTGTCCTGTTAAGGTTTTGGAAGATTTTATCCTCATGTTCTGCTGCTACTCTCCGGGAGAGTTATTTAATCCAATCTTGAGATAACCGTGGCACAGATGTTTGTGTCTGTGCGAGCTTAAAGCTGATACGTGTAGTGGTGTTAAAGTAATATTTGTTCCAGGCATTGTTAAATACTGTGAATTAAGACTAGACAGATGTTCATGACACAGCTTCCACCCTCTCCGTTAATTTAGGGATAAGGGGAACCTATTGTGCACATTACGAGCTCTGGGGAGTACACTGGTTGAATGTCTCTGTCGCTGCCCTTCTGACAATTTTTTGCCATTCCTTGCGAACCTTCAAATCACACCAGAACGGTTTGTGTTTGGTCTACATGGGCCTATTGCTGACTTCCTGCGCTCCTCCTCATCTGCTCTGTGCTTTTGATGCCGCTTTGATGCACAGCAACATTTTAAGTGATGCGGAGTGGAGAGCTGCTCCTCGGGTACTTCTGAAACATGCCGCAGCATGGTGAAACTACAAGCATTGTCTTAAGTGGATGCAATCAGCTCCAGCTGTACCGAGTGTAAATCCTGGGGTTATACTTTTCAGATATCTCATACTGGGCCTTAAGGCAGCTCTAAGCGATATTTTGATTGGCTGCCCACCGCTAACAGAAGGTGTGAACAGTAGGTGGCTGGGGCTGATGTGTGCCAGATATGACTATATTAAGGACATGCACTTTAAAAAGCCAGAGCTTTTGGCTCACAGGGATTACTTGCACAAATGCTGACCTAATTTCTTTTTTTGATTTTTTTTAATTGGCCATTTTTAATATGAGCATCCACCTTGTAATAGTATAAATATGAAAAAATAAAATAAATAAAGACTAATAGTCCACTTTGTATCAGAGTGCATTTTTAAGAAGCCTTAAGTTTGTTTTCCAAGATCATTACATGTCCAGAAACATCATATTTGGGCAACAAAAAAAGACTAGGGTTTTTTTTGTTGCTACAGTGAAAATAAGTAGAGAACATTCAACAGTTTACTTGTAGGTCATGAAGCAGTTAGCATAAAAGCTTGACTAGTTCTGAGAAAAAACAACAAGATAGACCTGTCAGTGATTAGCACCAGGCTCTGATTCACTCTTATCATGACATCCTGATTGTGTGGTATCCCACGATCGCTGACAACAGCGTGGGCTCTGTCTAAATGAACTGCACTAATGAGAGCTGACTACTAGCACAGAGTGGGAGTGCTAAAGCCAGCAGGGAAGGTGGAGTCATAAACAACACAGGGGGAGGATAGCGAAAGGTTGAGAGAATGAGAGAAGTGAGTCACCCACAAACAAAATCTCCCACGAACTTTGAAAAGTGTGAGAGGACCAGGGCTCGTATGCTTATATCTGGTCAGTGTTAATACTAACATACATTAATAGAAGGGCAAAGGATTGAGGTGGAGGGCTAACAACTAATTAAAGGTCAGTGGCTTTAAAGTGAGACTTGTAGACCAGACCAATGAAGCAGAAATCAAGCGGTGCAGGTGTGACACACCACTTTTTTTACATTTTAAGTACTTTTATGCTTGTCTGAACATGAAGGAGGAAAGACAATTAGCTGACAGTAGTGCAAAATTAAAAAAAAGAAAAAAAGAACAAACACAATCAAAGGACAGATACGAGGGTCAAATTTCTGTTGCGGCAATTTCATCAAAGTTGATCTCATTGCCGCTGCCCTCATCATCATCTCTGCTTTCCAGTTCCAAACTGAGCTCCTGCAGGAGCTGCTCCAGCTCTCGGTTCCTGCGATACATCTGCACATAGTTCTGCTGCAGCTGCTTCTGGTAGCGAATTACTTTGTCCTTTTCCTCCTGCCATATCTTGCGCTCCTCCTCAAAGCTTCCCAGTTGCTGCTCAGCTTTTTGACGCTCAAAAGCTAACTCGGATCTCATCCTGTCCATCTGCACCTTCATGCTCTGCAGCGCCTCGGTGTTGCTCTGCCGCTGAGCCTTCGCTTCGTCGCTCTCGTAGGCGAGCAGCTGCTCCTCGGCTTCCTGAAACACCTGACACTGTCTGTTTCCCGGGCCTTGATTGACCAGAGCATCTCGGAGATGAGCCATTTCCACCTCCAGGCGTCCTACCTTTTCTCTGAGTAGCTCTGCTTCGCTCTTGCGACGCTGAAGCTCATTTTCACACACCTCCAGCTCCAGTGTTCGAGTTCGGATGGTGCCGTGGGCCTCCTGGAGCAGCACCTGGGTGTTGGTCAGCTCGCCACGAGTCTCCCTGAGTTGACCCCGCAGTGAGACGATCTCCCCCACACGCTGAGCTAACTCACTCTGCACTTCCTTCAACTGCTGCTTCAGCAACGAGATTTCCCCAGACTTCTGACAGACCTGAGTGGAGAGAAGCATCGATTTGATCAGTAATTAAATGTCAGAAAAGAGTGAAAATGGTTAATTTCAGAAACTCTCTCTTGAAAAAAAATGTCATAAAATACAACCAAAGAGTTTTCAGTCTGAGAGTCTAACGTTTGCGTGTGCAGGTAATTATTTTAGATCCAAAATTAAGTACAAATATAAAGTATATAGCGCTTTTTAGAATAATAATACACTAAAATGTTGCAGAATCGTTAAGGTGTGGGGACTGCTTTGAATTTTAGAAAGGATTTGTATTTTACACAAAATCAGTCAGAATAATTAATATAAACCATGAAATAGTTACTTTTACGTTTTGAACTGACTGAACTTTTTCTTATAAAATGTTGGATATTTTTCTTTAAAAGAAGCCTTTTTTTAAAAGTATTTTTTGTTATCACTAAAACTCATTGGATGACATTAATTTCATTTCATTCACGATTACAGCAAGACATTCAATTAGTGATTTGATTTGCACAGTTCTTATAGCAGTGATGAGGAGTTTAATGAAGGATGAGACGTGGCAAAAAAAAAAAAAATCACTAAAAAGGGCTCAATAATACACTTTAAAACTCAAATGTATTTCATGTACTTATTACTATATTATATAAGAGTTTAAAGAACATCTGCTCACCTCCCACTTGGTCTCCTCGAGTCGAGGGCCCAGCTGGATCTTCTCATGCTCATACGAGGTGCAGCGCTCCTCAAGCTGCTCCCTCTCCTTCAGAAGCTGAGCAAAGTCCTCCTGCAGTTTCTTCTTCTCCTGCTGGAGCTGGAAAACCTGCAGCCATAAAAAGAAAAGAGAGAGAGAGAGGGATACACTTAAAACAATGCTTTGTTTTCAAAAGCCAACACTGAATATTCTTGTCTGAGGTTCTAACCTGCAGCTGAAGCACCTGCTGTGCACGCTGGGCTTTCTGAGAGGCGACCTGCATCCTGGTGGCACAGCCCTGCCTCAGCTCCTCCAGTTCCAGCTCAAAGCGCTTCTGCTTCTCCTCATAAACCTGTAAAGCAGAACAACCAGTGGCAGAGAGGTCAAAGTTCAGATCTGTGTAAGTTTAGGTAAAGCAAATGTCCTGCTTGGATATTTTGTTTGGAGGTCTCACCTGACATATTGCAGCTTCATTCTCATCCAGATTGTCTCTGAGTTGCTGCAGCTCCAGCTCTCTCTCCCTCAGTTTGTCCTCTAGGTCCCTTACCACCCCCTCATAGCCTTCCACAGGGCCAGGAGAACGCCCACCGGACCCGCTGTCAGACAGAGGCTGCCCCCGCCCACTTATCGACCCAGAGCCTGTGCTCTTACTGGAGGAGGATCGTCCGCTGTCTGAGTTGGAGTGTCCATGTACAGTCACTGGCGGGGCGCTCTTCATGGGCTCTAGGTGGCCAGCGGAAGCCTCCCCCGACGGCAGGTTGTAGCTGGCAGCACTGTAAGGCGGCAGGCTAGAGAGGGAATTGCGTCCAGAGTCTGATAATGAGCAAGACTGGCTGTTACCACCAGCGGCGTTACGCCCACCACTATAGGAGCTACGCTTCTCAGAGCAGGAGGGCGACACATCTCTGTGGGTGGGGCTGAGCAGGTTCAGGTTGTTTTGGCTTTCTGGTGCATTGGCACAATGGCGAGGCGAGAGATACTGCATCGTGGAGCGGCTCTTGGGAATGACGGGTTTGAAGGCAGTGGGCCGCAGCACTGTTTTCTCCATATTCTAGTAAAAAGTAAAAAGAGTGAATTTGATATAATCTAAAGCTTTACAAAGCAAAATTAAGCCTAAACAAAGCTGTGAATAAGTAGTTAAAATATGTTTTATGTGACACAGGCCCTGCTTCTGGGAAATGGAGTCTTTATAGGGCAGACAAAACTGAATAATATGGACCACATATATGGTATGCACTGTGGAGCCGCACACACTCACCTTCTCAAGTTTTCCTGACACTGGGATCAGTTTAGGAGGAGGTCCTCCAATATTTCCATTTAATCCTTTAATCTCGTCTACTTCACTTCCTGGGCTGCCAGGTGTCACATGACTGCCATTCCAGTCACCTATGTAGTCCTCATTCAGATATGTGTAGTTCCCGTTCCCAGTCTCCTTCTCCAGCCCTCTGCTGGACGTCGTGGAGTTCTGTTTCTTGACTGGGGGAATGCTTTGCAGTAACAGATCCTGTTGGGGCGACTCGGAGTCCACGCAGGAAACTCCTGGTGTGGGCCGTCGGACTCTGGCTCCCAGCTCAACAATTGGGCGATGGTCCTGGTAGGGACCAGGGTGGGTGGTGATGAGGCTACCGACAGAACCCATAGGATCCAGAGTGGCCAGTGGCGCGTTGATGGGAGGGGAAGGGGCAGAAGGGTGTCGTCTGCGAGCTCCTCCACTCAGGCCTGGGGTGTGGGGCTCAGCAGATACAGGTAGAGGCTGAACCAGGGCCATGGTGGCAGCTCAGAGAGGTCACTCGTGCTGAAAAAGAACAAATGTGATAGTGTTAAATAGTGACAGACTGATATCGTTCCTTTTTCCCTCTGTCATGGGGACTGTTTCAAAGAGGGACACTCATAATAAATATGTCCCAAACTTCAAAATAACTACATCAGCATACTTTATGTTCAAGAAATCCCTGTATGATTTCAAATAGAGAAGAATCCTTACTCTGTTCTCAGGAATGGATCAAATCACCTCCCAGTGAGACCCGCCCAAGAAAAGCTCACTATGAGGTGTCCAGGAGGCCAAACCACTCAAACTGGCTCCTTTCAATGCACAGTATCATCTACTCTGTACCCCTCCCAAATGACCAAACTCCTCAGTCACCCATCAGAGGAAGGACATTTCAGTCGCTTGTATCCACAATCTGTCTTTCAAGATGACAGATTTACCAGGACATCAACCTTCAAATTCAGCTCACACTTCATAACAGAACTATACAGAGTCCACATGACTGGCAATGCTAGGCCACTTTATCTGTTGACATCTCGCTCCAAAGTTCCTCCAAACGGAACAAGACATTTTTCCCCCACACTAAAACAACATGAGTGCTAGGGCAAAAACAAACCAATGCCAAATACGTTAATAAAATATGTAAATGAATCAAAATTAACAACTGTCATTCTGTGGAGCTCCAGTTATCCATTTCCTGCACCATGAAAACATTGTTTTGGCTTAAGAGTAAGTCTCAAGTCCTCTGAAAGTCCTTCATAGGTGATTCCTTATAGAAAAATCTGTTAAATCTTAAAACATTTCCATCAGATGCTTCATGCTTTAATTTTTTGCCATGCATAATTTAACCTTTATACTATGAATATTTAATGAGTTACAATCACTCAACTACATAGGAGTGGATCTAAATTTTGCACTTCTTAATTCACATTATTTTTGCCCTCAGTACTTCATAAAAACAGGAATTATCCACTTGAAATTTTCACAGCTGATAATCACATTTAACCTTTTAAAATCCGCAGCCAAATCAATTTTACACCCACTCCAAGTGTCACAATCTGAAGCTAAAAATCAGACTTTTGTTCAGTGAGATTTTTATGTAACCAACAGCATAACTGCACCAGTTTCATGTCTATGATGCAGATGAATAGAGACATGTATATTTGATCATTCACTGAAAAAAACTTCAAAGAGTACTTTTCTGGGGGGCTAAGTTTCCACCATGTAATATAGGTGGTTGGTTAAAGCAAGCTGGAGCGCACATTTTGATACCAGACTTACTTTCTTACCATAATTCCTTCTATATCAAAACAATTTTTAATATAGTGATTTTTTTCACACTCTCAACTGTAGCTCAAGGCTGTGAAATGGAGAAACGACACAAGTGTTCACATCTTATGGTTAAAGTTTCAGCATATCCTTTAAGAAGTTTCTCAAAAACCTTGTAGGCCCTTGCTCAAAGAGGGTCTCAGGATCAGGAGGCTGAGCAAGCAGATGAAGACTGCAACTGCATGTTCCCCTCTAAAGTCATTTCATCTTATTTGGTGTGAAGCACTGACTGATTCTTCAATGATAACTGTCATAGTAAGGGCAAGGTCTTATATTAAGCCTTATAAAATCAAGTTGAATCTTAAGTACTTAAAGACAAAAATCAGTCACTGTCTGAGTGCAAACTAGCAAAACATAATCATAGCATTTTTCTATCAAAGGCTTTGTTAATAGTGTTTTCAAATAGCTGTGTCAAAACCTGTTGCTATAATATTTACTGATCTTATTCAGCAACTAAAGAAATGAGCTGAACTGGCATGTTTTTCTTTAAGACCTAACAAGAAGTGATTGCAGCATTCAAATCTCCCCACAGGGTTTCTTTCAAGGAATTTTTCTCACAGCGCCTATGACACAGACAACACAGAGATGATATACAGTAGACTGAAGGATACAAATATCCCACAAGACCATGGTGGGCCACACACAGACAGCCAGGGACAGGCCATTCATTATATCCATCCAAGCAGCACAAACAGGGCTTGAGGCATAGGGCAGCACAAGGAAGGGGTCTCTCTTCATTTGAGATGTAAAATGCCTCGTAACATGCTGGCATTTTCCCTGACAGCAACAAAGGCTACTGTCTCCACACATCTTATCAGCCTTAGGAACAACTGAAAAGTTCATAACTGTGGATAATACCACAAAAGGTAAAACACTGAGAAGAGGAGACAGGTTGAACTTGGCGTGGTACTTCTGCAGTGGGTGTTTAAAGCTACTAAGTAAAGGCAATAATACACAGAGAACAATTTTTAAAAAGCGTGACAGACTTACTTTTTCACTCCTTCACACGTCTGGTGGTAAATGTTGACATTATAACAGCAGGCACAACAGACTATGATATCAACAGTTTATTCCCGGCGCTGCCCAGCTGTCGAGCGTGAAGAACAATGGACAACAGGACGCCTGATGATGAGATCATCGTGTACAAAAACCAACAACGGAGCCTCTTGTAGACTAAAAACAACATCACGGTGAGTCAGACTGTCAGGATATCCAACCTGTGGGTGTGTCATCGCCTTAAGTTTCAGAGAAGTCATTTAAAGTATGACAGGAATTCAGTTTTCACTACGTCACTCACACGTTTTGGTTGTTTACATGCACCCATGTCTCTTTTCCCACCTGTTTTCTAATCCCTAGTTAGGCCTCAGGCCTTTCGACCACATGTAAACTGTGTTTTAAGTCACTCAAAACTTTTTTTTTCCTCCTCTTTTTTTTTAAAGCCAACACCAAATAGGGAGAAGATGTTCAGAAGTTGAATTGCATGTAGCTATGTGGAAAAGGAAAAGGAGGATACTTTTATCTCCGTTTCTGACATCACAAACATGGTTCTGTGTTATTGTTTGCGAGCTTATTAACAGCCAATGTTTCCACATCAGTTTTTTGCATTTTTGTGAGAAATATATATATTTCAAAATAAAAGTAGAACACCCCAGTTTAAAAAAAACGAAACAAAACAAACAAAAAAAGAAAAAAATCCCACCTGTGAGGCTGTAGCATATATCCTGTTTCCTCCCTAGTGTTTGTCTGTCTAGCTCTGTGCTGTTTTTGTTCCTTGATGTGCTCCCTTGTGCGTGTCATGTTTTCCTAGTTTAACTTCTGCTCTTCCTGATGGTTTCCAGAGAAGTTAAATAAAGGAGGAGTCCTGCATTTGGCTCCTCTCTATGCCACGCATCATGACACCTGCCATGTTTAAAAAAAGAAATTGAGTGGTTTTGCTTTTCTTTTTTGTAATTTGATCAAATTGATCTACTTGTATCTCAAATATTTTGGTATTTTATAGGTGATTAATTATTATTACCCGCCCAGGCGGTGATCATGGAAATCAGCTAGTTCTAAATCTATTACAAGGCATTTTGTATTTTTTTTTCTTATAAGATGAACTCTCCAAGATTGTAACCATTTTTGTTTTTATTAAATTGTTCTTCCAGGTTAACAATATAGGGTTAGGGTTACCCCCATCAGAGGGTCAGTGTTTTTGTACTTGGTCTGGGAGAAAAATAGGAATAAACATTAAAAAAAAAAAAAAGCTAAAGAAAATTATAATAAAATAAAAAAACAGAATGCACAGTAGTACAGTAGTGGTTAGCACCGTCACTTCACAGCAAGAAGGGTTTAAATCTACCACCCGGGGCCTTTCTGTGTGGAGTTAGTATGTTCTTTCTCTGCCTGTGTGGGTTCTCCCACAGTCCACAGACATGCATGTTAAGCTATCTGGTGATTGTAAATTGGCTGAGTGTGAACAGTTGTCTGTCTCTCTGTGATAGCCCCGCGATAAGACTGGTGACCTGTCATGGGTGAAGCACTAGCCCATAGCAGCTGGGATAAGCTGCTGTATCCGACACCTTTTGGATAATTGGATGGCTGCATAAACTAACTATAACCCTGTCGACCAACCTTTTGACATTTAACATTGACACTTATTGTGAAGTAGGTTTGCAGAGTTTCTAGCCAAACAGCTGTGCCAAGTCATTTTCCAACCTACCAGGTTCACAGGTTTCTTAAGGCTTTTGCTGTGATTCAACTGTGATTACCACATGTTAATCAGCACCGTGGAAACCTAGCTGATCCCTTCTTAGGCTCATTATGAAGTGACTAGGACAAGCCTGGTGCTATTGTATGTTAGTATGTTCAGTAGATAGTGAAAATGCAAAGAAATGCATTTTAGTCCAATGTCTGTTAATATGTTTAGTGTGTCTTGGTACTCTCACATAGCAAACTTTTAGAGGTGGTACAGCTTTAACAAGAAAAGTATTGATTACATTACATCACTCTGCTGCTATTAGAAAGTCAAAAATCCATTAGCTTCTGGGCAACTGGGATCTGCCCATTGATCATCTTTGGTTAGTCAGTTAATGGACTTTTAAATTGAAACTCCATTAAACAAAAAAAAAAATTAAATCAGTGTCAGCATGAAGGAAAAGTAAATGAATAGCAGCCGGAGCAACATGTGGTGTTGCGGATCAGACTTAACGGTCCCCAGAGGCAGAGCAAGGAGGATTAATCTCATGTGATTTCTCTATACACTGATAAAACTAATTCATCCATGACAATATTTATTACAAATAATCCCATGTGAATAGCATGGAATGAGAATGACTGAGTAACTGCTATTAGAAAAAGAAAGCCTCAAACCTAAAATTGCCTTTCTTAATACTGAGATTAAAGAAACCCCAGAAGATTATCTCCAGCCAACTCTACAGCTTATTTCAATGAGAAAATTCCTCCAGGCTGATTTAAAAAGCAGCAGTTAGTGAACTCACCCGGCTGCATCACAAATAAATTTAAAATCTTTTTTGCTGTGACATATGATTATTTCAAGCTCCATATCGACTCGTTGCTTTACATGACTCACAATTCATAGCAATCTTTGTTCATCTTATACCAAGCATTTTCATAATAAATAAGTTGTATGAGAAAAATCGTTAACTTAAAAAGGCTGCCAGTGTTTTGTGGTTCAATAAATCTTTTTGTATAAGATG